AGCTGCTCTCCAAGACTTAGCTTGGGAGAGAATATTGGCATCAATGAACACAACACAGAAATGGGAGTTCTTCAAAAAGACTATGTGAACACACTGCAAAATATATTCCCATGGGCAACAAGTTTAACCACAAGCTTACAGGGCACTTTACCCCCTTCCTGCCCAAACCAATTTCCAGCTTTCAGCGCTGTTGCACTTTGAGTGACAATTGCGTGGTCATGCCACACTGTACCCATATGAAATTTTTATAATTTTTTTGTGACAGAGCTTTATTTTGGTGGTATTTAATCACCTCTGGGTTTTTTATTTTTTCTTAAATCAAAAACCACTGAAAATTTTGAAAAAAAAAAAAACCTTTTTTTCTTAGTTTTTGTTATAAAATTTTGTAACTAAGTGATTTTTCTCCTTCACTGATGTGCGCTAATGAGGCTGCAGTGATGCGCACTGATAGGCTACACTGATGGACACTGGTAGGTGGCACTGATGGGCATTGACAGGCATCACTGATGGGCACTGAAAGGAAGCACTGATCGGCGGCACTGATAGGTGGCACTGACAGGCATTGATAGGTGGCACTGAAAGGCAGCTCAGATGGGCACTATGTGGCATTGATGTGCACTGGTAGGCACTGATATGTGGCATTGATGTGGCACATCAACATGCAAAAAGGAAATAAAGGCCGCAAAAATTTAAAATGAACAACAGATTGCAGGAGATAGCAGGACCAACCCCCAAAAATTCTTCAAATATATTAATAGTAAAAAAGGTCTGGTCCGAGCATGTAGACCCTTTACGAAATAATCTAGAGTGGGTGACTGGGGACAAAGAGAAGGCAAATTTATTAAATACCTTCTTCAGCTCTGTGTATACAAAAGGAGCATGGGAGCGCTCTTGTCCATAATGGACATGGTATTGACACAGCTCCAGTAGATCCACATTGGCTCACAACCCACGTGACTTCTTCAGGATCACGGATCAAGAAGTCACGTGGGATATGTGATGCAACGCGTCGATATGCGGTGAGGTAATTACGGCGGCAGCCATCTTGGTACACCCGGATACATGTGAATACACCCAGAACATGTGGTGTTAATGCCTGAGTATCACTACATAAATGTGAGTGGATAAATTGGTGTTTTTACTTCTATTTACCTTATTAAAACATTATTGCACTATGGAAGTATTTTTCTCTTCTCTTATGAGCTACGCATGATCTTATTGAGAGCCACGCATAACCGTATTGAGTTAGTTGGCGGTTGTAAGGCCATCTGCTTACCTGTCCAGGAAGGGGGAACATTCTTATGCTGTGTGTGGAGCCCTTTTGTGGAAGTCGGATAACAAGGAGATCTTTACCGTAGGATCCTGGTGTGATCCGAAAGGCGCATTAGCCCATAGGGTCATTGAAAGGAGGTGGGGGGGCAATCTAGCTACTATAGGATTTGTTTGGTGCACACACCACACGGCACCAGTTCATGAATAGCGAAGCACATTTTATGTAGGGGATTTTTTCTGCACTTTATTGGACTTGCTTGAACATTTTTTTTTAATGAAATTTTTATAATATATATATATATATATATATATATATATATACACACACACATATATACACATATATACACACACACACATATATATACACACACACACACACACACACATATATATATATACACACACACACACACACACACACATATATATATATACACACACACACACACACACACACATACAAGTACATACATATACACACACACACAGTTGTGTTCAAAATAATAGCAGTGTGTTGAAAAAAGTAAATAAAGCTCAAAATCCTTCTAATAGCTTTTATTTCCAGACACACAAATGCATTGGGAACACTACACATTCTATTCCAAATCAAAACATGAAGAAAAATAGATCAAAGTTGTGCTGTTCCTCTAAAAAAATTGAAGAAAAGTGAATATTAGACTGAGCAGTGCTTGTATTCTTCTTTACAAACACAAACGTTCACTATATAAACTGAAAAATGTTGGAAGACTTTGCTTTGCATCACTTAATTAATATTTAGTTGTATAACTACGGTTTCTGAGAACTGCTGTACATCTGTGTTGCATGGAGTCAACCAACTTCTGGCACCTGTGAACAGGTATTCCCGCCCAGGATGATTGGACTACATTCCACAGTTCTTCTCTATATCTTGGTTTTGCCTAAGAAACTGCATTTTTGATGTCACCCCACAAGATTTCTATTGGATTAAGATCCGGGGATTGGGCTGGCCACTCCATAACGTCAATCTTGTTGGTCTGGAACAAAGATGTTGCACGTTTACTGGTGTGTTTGGGGTCGTTGTCTTGTTGGAACACCCATTTCAAGGGCATTTCCTCTTCAGCATAAGGCAGCATGACCTCTTCAAGTATTCTGATGTATTCAAACTGATCCATGATCCCTGGTATGCGATAAATAGGCCCAACACCGTAGTATGAGAAACATCCCCATATCATGATGCTTGCGCAACCATGCTTCACTGTCTTCACAGTATACTGTGGCTTGAATTCAGTGTTTGGGGGTCGTCTGACAAACTGTCTCCGGCCCTAGACCCAAAAAGAACAATCTTTCTTTCATCAGTCCACAAAATGTTGTGCCATTTCTTTTTAGGCCAGTCAATGTGCTCTTTGGCAAATTGTAACCTCTTCAGTACGTCTTTTTTTCAACAGTGGGACTTTGCAGGGGCTTTTTGCAGATAGCTTGGCTTCACATAGGCGTCTTCTAATTGTAACAGTACTCACAGGTAACTTTAGACCTTCTTTGATCTTCCTGGAGTGATTGTTGGCTGAGTCCTTGCCATTTTGGCTATTCTTCTATCCATTCGAATGGTAGTTTTTCGCTTTCTTCCACAGCTTTCAGGTTTTGGTTGCCATTTTAAAGCATTTGCGATCATTTTAGCTGAGCAGCCTATCATTTTCTGCACTTCTTTATATGTTTTCCCCTCTCCAATCAACTTTTTAATCAAGGTACGCTGTTCTTCTGAACAATGTCTGGAACGATCCATTTTCCTCAGAATTTCAGAGAGAAATGCACTGTAACCAGCATGTACAACATTTGGTGCCTTCCTTCCTTAAATAAGGGCAATAATTGCCACCTGTTTTTCAAAGAATGAATGACCTCACTAATAGAACTCCACACTGCTATTATTTTGAACATGCCCCTTTCAATTAGTGATTCAATTACACAGGATCAGCAGTATGCATGTCATGACTGTTGGGTCTGTTGGATTTCTATTACTCTACTACACCTGCTAGTAAATTATTTGCCATGTAGAAATATAATTTCTACCAAAAACAGTGATTGATCAGGTTAGTGATGTCTGACTGCTATTATTTTGAACACAACTGTATATATTTTATCAATTTTTTTTCTATTGATTTGTTGCTATTGTATGAGTTGTGGATGATCACTTGTCACTTTGGTATTTGATATACGATTATCCTAGCACTGGGATTCACTTTGTGTACATGTTTGGTGTGTGAATATTATCCCAATTTTGGGATTGGGAAGTTTGTTGTTTTTTCACTTTGAATGGTCCAATTCTGTGACCTATTGGTTTATTCCACAATGCGATAGATCCCTGTAGGATCTCTTACATCTTTACGTGTGTGTGTGTGTGTGTATATATATTTTTTTTTATGGTTTTTAGTTATTTATATTTGTTAGCGCTGCACCATACCAAAAGGTATTTATTCCCTCACATATTCTTTTTTTCCCCCTATTTTTTATTTCAATTTTTATTATTTTGATGTTTTATTATATTCTTTATTTCTTTATGATTATTTGATTTTCTAATATTACAGTATAACGTTATAGTTCCTGGATATCTGAAGCTTCTTTGTTCACCTTCAAAGTTAATTGAATTATGACTCGGCCGATGTTTTCCTATTGGGCTTCGAGAGTATCCTATTTCACATATGGTTCCTCCCCTCCTTTTTCCCCACAATAAAATGGCTACACAGATTATTCCCCCTATGGTTTGGCAAAGGAGTGTCTGTAGGCTCCGGCAGATGTTACCACTCACTTAGCGCTGACGTCATCATATCTTTTGTCACTTTCGGTCTCGGCGCTGTATGCGTTTCATAGTAGATACAGCTGTTGGTTGCAGACCTCATTTCTGTTCTGCTATGCCTGGCATCGCTCCCTAGCTGTATTCTGCTTAATTGCTACAGCCGCTTCACTCTGCCTACTCCCAGTTGCCTTCCAGCCAAACTCTGCAAGTGACTTAAAAGAAGTAGGAGCTTTTTTCCCCCTATTTATACTTACCTAGGTGGATGCAGCATCGGTCCCCCGCCATTTCGAAAAAGGTGAGAACTCAGTGATCACATGAGTTGTCACAGCCGCTCTGATCGGGACCGTCAGACACTGCTGTCTGCTCAGCCACCCCCCTAACGCTCACTGGCCATCTGGACTGTGGAGAGGGAGGGAGCAGCTGGCTCAGGCTCTCAGCACTTTCCCGAGAGGCTGAGCCAAGCGCTGCTCCAGACTCTGGGGTGGATCCCGACTTTTGCACATTATTACTCTCTTATGCTATCCAAAATGAGAAAAATGCTTTGTCTTTAATTCTGCTTTGAAGGATATTATAAGCGTAGGTGTGCTAGGAGCAGCAGTGATCTGGTACTTTCCTTAGCCTACACTCAATGATTCATCTTGGTTAGAGGTGAATCTTAGCCTTTCCCTGCTGATCACTACTACGTGCATTTACTAAAAAAGGATGAGTATGCATATTTAACTGCACCCATAGTCATTTGTACGATTTAAAAACCCAACATGGCAATAAATGAGTGTTGGATACAAATATGAGATACCTAGTAAGAAATAAGAAAAATCTTTAATTTTGTCAATTGGGCTCACATGTTCTGTTGGTCAGAATATAGGAAGAGTCACACTGTTCAGATTCTTTTGAAATTACCACTAAAATACATATTACCAAAACATTCTACTTTTACAGCATAAAACCATTACCTTACCAGCAAACATTAGCTCTGACACATCTGGCTTGACATGAAGGCACGTAAATAATGGCAATGGGCACTGACCATCACATATTTTCTCATGCATGTTACTTAACTTGCTGTTCATTCTCTGCAATAGATTATTCAATGATTCATGAAAAAGCAAACAATAGAAGTTATGGCAGGAAATATAAATGTTTAACTCTGTGAGGCAAGCTATAGATCATGCAATTTTGGTTGCAGGAAAGAAAATTGCTTGATTCAGTCAGCGTTGATGAGGGAATCCCTCCCACCGTTTTATTGTGTTCTGCTGACAGGAAGCCAGGAACACAATGATCACTGCTGGCGGATATATAGCTACGGGCAGTAATTGCATGCAAAACATCCGACAGGCTGGTTGTACTGAAGTCTATCAATGAATCGACTTCAGTACAACCAGACTGCCCATTGATGGAATGAATCTTGGCCAGTCTCTGATTAACCGGCCAAGTTTCAATCCATCTATGGCCGGCTTAATATACCAGTCAGTGATCGAATTAAAACATGTTATCATTATAACAGAATTGGTAACAAGATAAGCTACCAGCATCACAATAAGTTTTTTTTTTTGTCATCTTTGGACTATACCTTGGAACGATTGGTAGTGATGATTATCTACAAACAACCGTATTGCAAAAGGAGTAGTAGTTCCAAAAGATGGGTGAGTTATTAAATAGATGTAACCGTTAGGAACTGACTGAGATTGGGGTGGATCACAGCCTGGGCTTAAAGTCATGATGTTTTAGGGTGAATTTCAGGCACAGCTAAGTACACAAAGACATGAGAGATATATTAACTGCCAAATGCTTTGTATGACTGTCCATCCAGTTCTGAGATTTACACAGGTCTGATACACAGCACAGTCAGGGGAGGAGACCCAATATTTCTTTTGCGGAGTACACATAAATAACTTGTATTCTAATGTCAAGATTGGCAAGATTGTACTCAGGCATCTTATTCTTTGAATGTCTACCAGTTAGCATGGCCATACCCAGGAAAGTTTTCTGATCTACTTTTGACTATTCAGCAGTTTCTTGGCTTTTACGGATATTGTAAATCATTAACATAGGTTGTTTTTTTCCATGGAGCTATTGAGTTGACAATTTATTAATGTATTGTCTCTACTCTCTGCAATTGTTTAAAGCGGTCACATTTTGAAGCATGACCTGACAAGAGACAACATGCATTATTTTCTCAGCCATATACTGCCAGTTTATATGCTACATATGAATTATAATAAAGGCATTCAAACTTTTATGTTGGCCTGAAAACGTCAAACCACGTTTACGATTATCTAATGAATGGCTGAATTTTCCCTAGAACCTCCTAAGGAAGAACCCAAATGAACAAAACTGTAAACTGGTAACCCTATGTTTTACACACCTAAATTCTGAAGGTATAGCACATTTATTCCTTATCCAAGTAAATATAGTTTATTACAAGCATCACCAGGGAAACACAGAACACTGGTAACCTCTTGCCAGGAATTCCTGACTCCCTCCCACCCCCCAGTCAAAAATCATATAACGTTTATCTGTATTGGGGCTGAAGCTATCTTATCCTTTGCTTTCACTCCCCTGCCATATCACTGCTTTAGTTTTGTTTTTGTTTTTTTTGCCAGTGAGGAAACAATTTTAGCTGTTGCAATTATTTTTATTTAGGGATGTAATCATTTGCAAAACAGCCCGGGCTGTATTAAAAAATGCAAATCACACTCATGGACTGTGAATTGGAAAATTCCACTCCTAAGTCTGGCCCTAGTTAAAGAACAGCACTTCTGGTCAGGAAGTTTACATTTAGCAAGTCTCTTGATTTAATACATTTGGGACATTTGTCCCAGCATCCCTAGTACCATGGTCCATCCTCATAGCCCAGGCCTCTGGAGCTCCAGTCTATCTACTAAAATGGAAAAGAGGGAATATTAACACTTTAATGTATTGAACACCCTTTAATCCCTAATACAATGGTTACAGGAAAAAGTATGGAGGTACAGTAACCTTAAAATGTGCTCTCCAGTGCTGCAGAAGACCCAAATTTCAGGGTAAAGTGCAGCAATTGCAGGGTGAATGGCATTGCACCAATGGCTAGCCATTCTAGTGATGAGTAAATAGGAAGATGCAAGATGGGGCAAGGCTGGATGTTAGAACCTCGGGATGTGTCAACATTTGTATTAGAGCGTATACTAGGGTTTGAGGCTTCCTGGTCTCTAGAAAAGGATTATAAGCCTATTTTACTGTTGTAACAAAAATAGCTGGTGTACAGGTGTACGTTAAGTGCGGCATGTAATTTCAACTGTTAGCTACAAGATCCAAATTGTTTGATATGTATCTGTACTGTATGTTTTGGCACAGCTCTCCTCCTTTGCAGGAAATTAGCTTCTTTTTATGTCCTGAAAGCTTACGCAAAACCAGAAGAATAGAAGTTCATGTTTTTTCACACAAAGAAATCTGTAAACTGCAGCTGTGAGAAATGACTGGCTAAAACTTCCTTTTTCAAATCCTCGCCCTGAGGCGACATCCTGCACTATAAATTTTCAAGTAGCCAAAGCAGTACAACATGTGAAATAAAAAGTGTTACATGGTGAAATATATCTACAATGATTAACCATAATGATTTCAATGATTTTTAAATCAGTCAACATTTTGAATGACAGCAATGTTCCAGATTAATATTTGGTCTGAAAAAGTCCTTCGGATTAATAAAAGGTTTCTCCTAGAACAAACACATGAAAATTGTAATTTTCAATATTGTTTACAGCAAAGCTGATTAATCACTCTTTATAATCCCATGATATGTTCACGAATAGATCTAATTATATAGAAAGCATTATAATTCAAAAGAAAGAAAGATACTTAAGATTGAATTCTTACATCTCTAATAAGTGTCTCTCCAATAAGCATGGAAAAAACATCAGTAAAAGTAACTGGCTGCCCAGAACTTTTTTTTTTCCACAAAGCTTCAATGTAGCGTTTCACTTTTTGTGGTGTCAGCAAAAGTAGGGGACTGTGACTGACGCTGTTCATAAGCTCCTCATTTATTTCCTTTGGTCCTTTCCTTGGAAAATCCAGATGAGAGTAAAGTGTAGACATATACCTATGGATAAAGCAGTATGGACAAATAAGAACTTCCTAATATCTAAACCCACTTGTGCCAATAAGCAAAATCATTGAAAAGCATGTGCTTTACTAGATATGGGAGGTGATTTTATATATCTGACTTTCTGCCTCTTTTGTACAAAATTACCAAAAAATACAAGGAACATTAGCTGTGTTTAGTTGTAACGAGTACAATTTTTTCTTACTATAAATCAAATTCTTCTGTTATTTTTCTGGGATAAAAAGAAAGAGGTTGAATTACTAAAACTAAGTGGGCTTTTCATTTTGCCTTTTACCTTAGCTTAGGTACTGTGGTAAAAATTCAGCTGGCAAAGAATACCCAATCACATGCAAGATTTTTACTTGAGCATGATTGGATGATAGGAGTCAGCAAAACTTCACCTCATTTGCAAAAGGTAATAGCCAAGTAAATCAACCCCAAACGCTTAAAGTGGTTCTAAAGTCAAAATGTTTTTTTACCTTAATGCATTCCCTGCATGGAGGTGAAAAACATCCCTTTCTATCCCTAAACATTTTACACATGTAAGCATAAGTACAGTAAAATAAAACTAAAAACCTATAACACAATTAGAGAATCCAGAGAGAGGGGTATGCAAATCTATGTGCTTTTCCAGTAATGCTGTGCTTCTCACAATCCTTTCTTCAACAAAGATTACAGATTTAAACCATTCTTTCTGCTACTGTATGTGCTTTTTCTTTTAATGGAATTTGATTCTGTCAAAGTTCGATAAAGTGACCCCATTAAAAAAAAGCATGTTCACTCCGTTTAAATAAAAAAAATAATGAAAATGGCAATGTATTTTGAAATTATACTAATGTGTTAAAATTATATGCGATTACCTGACTTCTGTCATCTGTCCAGTACTGTCCTGGCTGCAGGGCGCTCCTCTTACTTCCTGGTTTCACAGGAGACACGAAGAGCAGCAGAGGACTTGGGCTTCTGCTGCTCGCAGTCAATTCCTGTGAGTAGGAAGCTGGTGCTTGGTTTGCCAGCACTGTGTATCTATGTATGCACACAGCCCAGCTCTGTAGCACACATGCACAGGTGACCCTTAGCACCCAGCTTACTGAGGAGGCACCCGAAGGAAAAAGACGCAGTGGGGGATCACCAGAGAGGAAGGAAGGGATCATTGCACAGAGCAGTTAAATACATTTTTTTTTTAATTTAAACAAAAAATGTGCCATTAATATTTTGGTAAATTAGATGTAGATGTAAATTTGAGTGATCGGGCATGTTGGAAATTTTTTGAAAAATGAATTTATAATCAATGATGGGAGAATCGTGCAAGAAATAGCATTGAAAAACTAACAAACAAACCAGATCTGTGACCTGGAAATAAAATAAAATTCTTGGCCAAGAAAATGCTTTTCTGTAGCAACATGTGAAATTGAAGGTTTGGATGGTCGAATTTCGAGATCAATGGTGGCACAGATTACAAAATGCATGAAATTTCTGATTTTCTAAAGAAAATTTGTTTGGAATTCGACCCATGTATGGCCTGCACAAGTCCACGCTTGTGTTGTTCATTGTATTGTAAGAATGCTTTTATGCGTTATTGAACTCACCATGCTTATACTGTAAATTGTGTTGTAAATATTGTTTGGTGTGCTATTTCTTATTTGTAAATACTCCTATATTGATCAGAGTATATTCACATATACACTTAACCTAGTTTAACACTCCCTTTGGTGGTTTGTACAATTGAAACATAGCTCATAATATAAAGCAGATTCTATGCTCCAACAGCATACTCTAGCAGTAGTTTATAACAAAATAATCACATGATATAAGGGGCAGATCCTGTAAAAAAGGGTGTTATCATTTAGGCGTGCTAAGGCAGCATGCTTAAATACAACCTTTGACCTTACTACCATCAAGGAAGTCTCCAAGATCCTCTCTGATGCCCGCCTCACCACCTGCCCCCTCGACCCTATCCCCTCACAACTCCTACAACTTCCTTCATCCTCCATCCTACGCTCCCTCACCCACATCTTCAATCTCTCTCTCTCCTCAGGCACTTTCCCCTCCCCTCTGAAACATGCACACATCACCCCCATACTTAAAAAGCCCTCCCTAGACCCCAATGACCCGAAAAACCTCAGACCCATCTCCCTGCTCCCATTTACATCTAAACTCCTCGAGCGCCTAGTCTACACCCGCCTATGCTCTCACCTCAACGACAACAACCTCCTCGATCCCCTACAGTCTGGCTTCCGTCCCCTACACTCCACCGAAACTGCCTTACTCAAACTCTCCAACGACCTGCTAACCGCCAAAGCTAATGGCCACTATTCAGTGCTCCTACTCCTTGACCTCTCTGCGGCCTTCGACACAGTTGACCACTCCCTCAGCCTCAGAGATTCTGCTCTCTCCTGGCTCTCATCCTACCTGACACAACGCTCCTTCAGCATTACCTATAATGCTACCACCTCCCCATCACTCCCCCTCTCTGTTGGGGTCCCTCAAGGCTCTGTCCTCGGGCCCCTTCTCTTCTCCATCTATACCTCCTCCCTTGGCCAACTCATACACTCTCACGGATTCAACTACCACCTCTATGCCGACGACACACAAATCTCTCTCTCAACCCCCCACCTCACCCCCTTGGTCTCAGCCTGAATCACACACCTACTGAGCGACATATCAGACTGGATGTCACTCCACTTCCTTAAATTGAACCTCTCCAAAACCGAGTTTCTTGTCTTCCCCCCAGCCTGGACACCACCCCCCATTGATTTCTCCGTCACATTCAACAACGCTACCATCAAACCCGCCCTGCAGGCCAGAGTACTTGGTGTAATTCTGGACTCCAACCTATCCTTTCAACCCCAAGTCCAATCTTTAACAAACTTGTGCAGACTCTACCTCCGCAACATCGCCAAAATCCGCACGTTCCTAACCCCAGAAACCACTAAACAGCTCATCCACTCTCTCATCATATCACGACTCGACTACTGCAACTCCCTCCTCACTGGCCTGCCTCGCCGCTGGCTATCCCCGCTTCAGTCGATCCTGAATACGGCTGCCAGACTCATTCACCTTTCCAACCGCTCTGTCTCCGCCACCCCCCTCTGCCAATCCCTCCACTGGCTTCCGATTGCGCAACGGATCAAATTCAAAATCCTAACGCTGACGTACAAAGCTGTCCACCATACTGCCCCAAACTACATCACTGACCTAATATCCAAGTACCGCCCAGCACGCACACTCCGCTCCTCACAAGACCTCCTTCTCTCTAGTTCCCTGGTCTCCTCTCCTCCCATGCCCGCCTCCAGGACTTCTCCAGGGTGTCACCCATCCTCTGGAACTCCCTGCCCCAACCCATCAGATTATCACCTACTCTCCTCTCCTTTAGGCACACCCTGAAAACCCATCTCTTCAGGGAAGCCTACCCCACCCCCTGCTAACTTGCCGACCTCCTCCACTCTTCCTACCACTCCATCCCCCACAGCTATCTCCTCCTGTGCCACCATCCCCGTCCCTCCTAGATTGTAAGCTCGAAAGAGCAGGGCCCTCAATCCCCTCATGTTTTGCATTGTATTGGTATTGTTCTGTCACATGTTCTGTCCCCCTTTGTAATGTACAGCGCTGAGCGAACTATTGGTGCTTTATAAATACTGTATAATAATAATAATATAAAGGGTATTAAAAGCTTATTAGTGTGGGTAACAAGCACCTTGTATCTACTACCCCCAAGGAAAGTGCCACAAGATATTAATCCATGGTCATGACCAGCATTGGTGATCCATGAAAAATAACTTTACAGAACATGTGATATTATACGAAAACACACATTTGTATATACTTTTTAAATTTAATTATATTCATAATAATAAAAACATGCAATTTACCATGTAGATCCAGACAATCCAGCAACATATGTTATACATTCTAAAACCCCTGATTCAAACAGGGCTTTCATGACTCCAGAGAAGCCAACCATTGCTCGAAATCCACCTCCAGAGCCTAGAACTGCTATGACAGGCACCTAAAAGATAACAACATTTGTCTCAAAACCCCAAAAACTGCTGTTTACCATATCTTGACCATTCATTTGAGCAGTATATTAACTTCTGCTGGCACATGCATAGGGGCAAATTTCTTGAACAATTATGGAGTCTCATACATAAACAAATTTTATTGGCTCCTGGATTTGGTTCAGCATTAAATAGTTAAAGTGGACCTTTCCCCGCATTCACTAAAAATCACATCAGCAGACAGCTCTTCATGATGATAATCACCTTACATTCTTTAGTTACACCAGTTTTAAAGGCTTAATTTTTTTTCCTAAAATAATAAAACATGGTATACTGTGTAATGATTTCAGCTCCTCCTATACTATGTGTCCCCATAACAAGATGTATGCTATGGGGGCACATATGCAAGTGCACTCCCACGCCCTGCAATGTGTGGTTTGACCCCATCCCCAGACAGGATTTGACTGACAGCAGCTAGAGCCAATTGCTCCTACATCTGCCTCTGTGTCCTGTGAGGAGAGAAACAGAGACCAGCACCGCTGCAAACAGAAACAGAACTGGATGGAGAGAGGGCTCAGGTAAAGTATATTTCCAAGGGGGGTTGATGATACGGCTACTGGGGCAATTTTTACCATATAGCATAGGATGCATTAAGGAAAAAAAAAAAGTCTTGTCTTTAGAATCACTTTTAGCAATCATTTTTGCTTATACATACTATTATTGTTTTTCCACTTCCTGCTGAAATGAGGCATTGGTGAGGTAACCAGGCCCCACAGTGCCATCCTTGGAGATTCCTGTCACATGTGCCTGGTTGCAGGCTCGATTTTGGTTTTAACAGCAAAGCAATCATTTTAGCTTTTATATCTTTCACCATATTTTTGTTGTAAGCATTTGGCATCAACACACAGAAAAATCTGAGGCGATGGAATGGGGATTGTTCAAGGTGGGTAACCGGAACATTCACCACACTCCCCAAAAAGGTTTAGAATAATGTTAGTAAAATTACTGTACAACCAGCTAGTACAGTAAACACATTAAAAAGCAAAAACACAGCACAGGTAAGTAGCTACAACTTTCAGAAGAAAAAAAAAAAAAAAAGAAGGACATACATCTCTTGAAGCCGAATTCAAGTCTTTGCTTCTTTCAGGTCCCAAAAGCTTCTTGATTCCGTTGAGGACTGTGTTCTTTCTTTTTTGTCGGTAAAGTTTTTCTTGATCACACAAAGCCATGCTGAATCGTAGATCTGTGGACGAGCTTGTGAAAAAAACAAAAAAACAAAAACACAATTTGCTGTTACGCCACCTTTATTATACACAATACATATGATGTAGTGCAATCTATACTCAAAATAGTGTAAGTGTAATATATCATAACATAGTGAACACGAACATTATAAGAATATACATCCTCTAAATAAAATGCCCATACATTGTAAATAACTAAAAACTAAAATCTCCTCTACTACCGTGCTGTGGGACACATTTTTCTTCACATTCTTAAAAATACAATCTGTGCAACTGAGGCACGCAAGCTATGATCCATGCCAAAGTTGAGGCCACTCTGCAGGACAGTAGATCTCAATTTGAAGCCCTCTGGAGCCCATAGGTAACCCACTTCTTACCCCTTAACTTCGATGGCACACTTGCTTTCATAGTCTTTTAAACCCCCACACATGGTGCTAGGACTACTGCATCTCTCAGTAGATCTAGCCTACCCCAGGGACCACCTTACTCTCCTCCCCCCTTCTTTCCTTCACTGATTTCCCCCACCTTCCTTTCTCTCACCGTCTCTTTGCTAGATTTTTTCACTACTCTTATCACAGTCCACCCCCCTCCTTTTTTCTACCCACCCCTGGCATGTCTTTCAGCTTCTCACTACAGCTTCCATTTTCTATTACACGCTATAACCCTGGCCATTATCACAACCCCTGGCCCGCTCTGGGCACAAGTAGTCAACTGATGCCACCGTTTCTTAATTTTTATCACCATGCAAGGTATAATCGAGTATCTGTATACCACAACCTGTGCTTAAATCCAAGGTACAACACCTAGTTATCTTTCCTTCTCAATTTGCTGGATTCCTCATAGTTTGACATAGTTTATTACTTTTTTTTAACTTGGCTCTACTAGCTTTATGGATGTCTTTGTTGTTCTCTCTCAAATTGCTCATCTTACCCGCTGTACCTACCTAAACCTATGGTACCATTTTGCTGATGACATACTCATGTTACAATAACATTACAATAACATTTTTGAACAAGAAAAATCCAATCTGTGCTGTGCATGCATTCACCAAGTGCTCATACCCTCGCCTAGATCCTTTGACCTAAAATCAAACCAAATCTAGGTCTTATGTGCTTGTTGCTCCAAGATAGGCCTATATAGTTTTATTCCTCCACTGGTCTTTATCCACGCAAAATAATTGGGACCAAAATTGTGGAGATCAAGAGGGATCGAAGAGAGAACATTAATGTTATATCTTGCAATAATACTACATGATTTAATATTATAATTTGGTAAGTGAAATACCCCTAAATATTATATCTACCCTCATGGATCTGTGTAAAATGAAAATCATAATATACATCATCATTAAAAAAAAATTTAAGCATATTAGCACAATTAAAAATAATAAAAAAAAAAAAAAAAAATTGGTCAGCACTTAAAATGGACACAATGTAGGAACAAAAAGGAGGGAGGCAAATAAACATTATGAATTACTGAAAAAAAGGGTGGTAGAATTACAAAAGAATTACAAAAAGAAATGCCCACATTTGTTAAATTGTCAAGGGATTTACAAGTCAAAATCCAAAAATGGGACAAAGAAGCACAAAAAAAGAAAAAAAAGGAAAACATTTACAGAGACATGGGGGACTTTAAAATGAATGAGGTTTTGAAGTGGCAGGTTAAGATGGAAACAAGTAAAATTCCATCGAATAACACCATACCAGTGATGAACAAAATATAACACCCTCAGATTAAATCATAATCCAAAAATAATTCTGAGAAGTAACCTCCTCTATTTTTCTAACTATAATAATCAGAGACAAGTTCTAATAGTACTTTTAATGTAGATAAGACCCGGTAAGAGCCTTGGAGAAGAAATGGTGAGTATTCTCACAAAAGAAACGGAGGACATGATTAATGGAATAATGGGAGAAAACCTTTTGAGCAATTTGGACCCAGGAGGAATGATACCCGTAATGAAGCACCCCAGTATTGGAAGGGTCAGCCTAGAGGGTATAGGAATAATGTAGAGATGCCAAATAGATTCCACCCATTAGAAAGTAGGTAAGAAAGGGTGGAAGGTTTTTTAAATCAAATCTGATTTTTTCATTAACCATTATTATCCAACATCCCCCACACCTGTAGAAACATTTTAACCACAGAGTCAAGATATTCACATCCTTCTTAGAGGGAGGGGGGAGGGGGGGGGGGTCTATGATCCCTGGGGCTATCATATTGCATAATGTGGGTGCCCTACTATATGTAAAAAATGGGGCAAGAAGGCAGAACAGAACCCCAACGTTCTATTTGTAACATCCCCCAAAGTTTAATAAAGATTTTTTCTATTTCTCTATGTTGGATATTAAAACCCAACATAACTCTAAACTCGTGACTTTGTTTAATCTCTGCTTTTTATCTACCAATAATAACTAACCCTCTATGCATCATTTTGACTAAGTTTCTCTTCCATAATTTGACATTTTTTTAATATACTTTTTCAGGAAAACAATCTACTAAACTTTCAGCTTGTTGGACATGATCCTCCTAAAAGGTGCAGTTCCTTCACAATCTGATGAACTGCCCTTTTAGGTATATTATATAATCAATTCTTACAATGACAACTATCAGTTGCTATGTATCCATTCTGATCTGTTGGTTTAGGAAAAATTCTGTGCGATAAATTTCTCATCTCATTCAGAAATTTCCAAATCCCCAAAAATTTACTTTAATCTCATTCACTTCCCAAGATAAATGTTATATATCTATTATTGTTATCCAATTTACTCATCAAAGATTTTAAACTCATGTTTTATTATATAGTATATAAAGAACCAATGTCCATCATTAAAGGAATGGTTCAGTTTTTTCAAAATTAAAGGGATGGAACTATTGGAATTTTAATTGAAGTGCAAATAAAGGAAGATGAGGGCAGCCGAGGCACAGATCGCAGCAATAAAAAGTGGTAGAATTACAAAAAGAAAACGCCCAAATTTGTTAAATTGTCAGGGGATTTACAAGTCAAAATACAAAAATGGGACAAATATGCACAAGAAGAAGAAAAGGAATAGATTTACACAGACATGGGGGATTTTAAAATGAATGAGGTTTTCAAGTGGCAGGATAAGATAGAAACAAGTGAAATTCCATCGATTAACACCACACCAGTGAGGAACAAAATAGAACACCCTCAGATTTATTATAATCCAAAAAAGAAAAATAGGAGGTTCCTTCTAGGAATTATACTGTAACTATAATAATCAGAGGCAAGTTCCGAACAGTAATTTTAAGGTAGATAAGAACCAGTCTGTGCCTTGGAGAAGAAATGGTGAGCATTCTCATGGAAGAAATGGAGGACGTGATTATTGGAATAATGGCAGACGACCTTCTGAACAATTTGGACCCAGGAGGAATGATACCCGTAATGGAGCACCATAATGGAAGGGCCCACCTAGAGGGAGGGTATAGGAATAGTGTAGAGATGTCAGATTCTCCCTATTAGAAAACAGGGAAGAAAGACCCAGAGTGAAAGTTTTTTTTTTATTTTTTAGGAGCCCAGAAAGTCCCCCAATGGGGAGAGACCAGAAAGGGGATACTTTGAAAACAGATCTGGGGGTAGAAGAGGCAGAGAGGAAGGAGGGCAGATAGAATACAAAAGAAGATGATTCCAATGGGGGTGGCAAATATAATTTAAATGGAATTCCTATAAAGGATGAAGAAATTAGAGTATTAGATAAAGGGCTCAAATATGCTCCAGTAAAAAAATATGAACAAAATTTATCAATATGTCAACATAAAGAGAAATTTGTCAGGTCCCTGAATATAAAAAAGCACATATTAGGCAATCCAATAACCACCTCACAGGCCCCAAGAGAAAGAGTTTGTTTGCAATTACTGCAGGGAACCATTAGTGTTTAACCCCCAAAATTCTGATAATTATATTGAGGTGTTCAGGAATATTGTATGTAATGATCTAGAAAATCTCAAAAGTGGAGAAGGTGCAGAACCCGAATTATATATAAAAAGAGGGGAATAGTGGAATCAGAGAAAAATAAAGTAGTTATCCATCCTGCAGGCAAGGGGGTGAAGTTGTAGTAATGAAGAAAGTTGAATACCAAGAAGAGATAGATAGGTTTTTAGCCGAAAGCAACACATAGGTTAGGTCCATACATATTTGGACACAGGCACAATTTTAGATTTTTTTCAGGTATTTACAAAAACATATTCAAGCTATAGTTATATAATGGATATGGGCTGAACATGCACACTCCCAGGGTTAATTTGAGGGTATGTACATCCAATTTAGAGGAAGGGTTTAGAAATTAGAGCCCTTAAGAGTAGCCAGCCATCCCCCCTTTTTCAAGGGACCAAAAGTAATCTGACTATTGAACCAAAAGATGGTTTCATGGCTAGGTGTGGGCTACTTCTTCGTTATTTCTTCATCAATTAAGCAGGTAAAAGATCTAGAGTTGATGCTAAATGTGGAATTTGCATTTGGAATCTATTGCTGTGAACCTACATCATGCGTTCAAAGGAGTTGTCCATGCAAGTGAAACAGGCCATTGTAAGACTTAAAAAAAAATTAAACTAATCCATGAGAGAGATAGCAGCAATATTAGGAGTGGCCAAATCAACAGTTTGGTACATTCTGAGGAAAGAACAACACACTGGTGAGCTCAGCAACATAAAAAGGCATGGATGTTAACGGAAGACAACAGTGGTGGATGATCGCAGGATTCTTTTCTTGGTAAAGAAAAACCCATTCACAACATCCAGACAAGTGAAGGACACTCTCCAGGAATCATAGAAGACTTCACGAGAGCAAGTACAGAGAGTTCACCACAAAAAGGTGCAAACCATTCATAAGCCTGAAGACTAGAAAAGCCAGAGTAGACTTTGCCAAAAAAAATCTAAAAAAGCCAGACCAGTTCTGGAAAAGCATTCTTTGGACGGATGAAACCAAGATTACCCTGTACCAGAATGACGGGGAAGAAAAAAAAAAAAAAAAAAAAGTGTGGAGAAGGCTTGAAACAGCTCATGATCCAAAGCACGCAACGTCGTCTGTAAAACATGGTGGAGGAAGTGTGATGGCATGGGCATGCATAGCTTCCAGTGGCACTGTGTCATTGGTGTTTATTGATGTAACAGAAGACAGAAGCCTGATGAATTCTGCAGTGTTTAGAGATATACTGTCAGCCCAGATTCAGCCAAATGCAGTAAAGTTGATTGGATGGCACTTCACAGTACAGATGGACAATGATCCACACTGCAAAAGCAACCCAGGATCTTTTGAAGGAAAAGAAGTGGAATATTCTGCAATGGCAGAGTCAATCACCTGATCTCAACAAAATTGAGCATGCATTTCACTTGCTAAAGGCAAAACTAAAGGCAGAAAGACCCACAAAGAACAACTGAAGATAGCTGCAGTTAGAGCCTGGCAA